GTTTTGTGCCGGGGCGTGTCGGCTGGGTGTCGACGCCGGCGGCTGCCCCGTCCTCCCGCGGCGCCTCGGGCAGTGCCGAGGCGTTTGGCGTCCCTGCGGTCATTTTGGAAGCCGGATTAACTAGACGGGTTGGAGGGATGGCAGGTGAGTTCCGAAACGGGCCTTTCTAAAGCCAGTGAGCGGGATTCGCCCCGCAGCCGTACAAGTCAATCATGCGGAAACCCGAGGCCAGGTTTTGAACTCTGCGTGCTGATTAGATGATTAACGCTGTTTGTTAGCTACTTGGGGCACGGGTGGGCACGGGGGAGGGAGCCGCATGAAAATGGTGATTTCTTTCTTTCTTTCTTTCTTTCTTTCTTTCTTTCTTTCTTTCTTTCTTTCTTTGTAATGTATTTTCAGAAGTGATGCTAGGGATAATTGGGGGCTAGAATGCATCACACGATGAATATTAGCATGGAAATCCTGAGAGAACTGTATTTAATGTAAGTACATATTTGAGCCAGTTGAGGTTTTGTATTCAATTAGGGATGCAAAGAAAAAAAGGGGGGGTTACTTTATTGTCATTTATGGAAAAGGCCTAAACCATTTACTCTTGGAATGAGTCCTTTGCTGACTTTGAAAGCCTACCCTGCAGAATTGGGTTTGGCAAAGCATTCTTGCCACATTTAGTCAACAGAATCCTCACTTAATCTTGTTGAGGATGATGACAGCACTATTTAAAGTGCCTTGGCATCTCCATTTTGTTCTTTCCTGTGGATTTGCTTGAACTGAATTTCAGCCTCTTTTATTTCATAAATCAAAATCAGCAATCTTATTGATAATGTTTTTTTTTAATTTAGATGTGGTGCAAGAGAAGGTGTTTTTACTAAGAAAAATGTAAAAAGAGCAGACTGTTTAAACTTCATTTAAATCAATACATACTGAAAAAGCATAGCTGTTTTGGTACATGGCATTGCTTCTTTAGGTAAATTCATGTTTAAAACTATACGGAGATTTATGCATATATCTAGTTCTATGAGTGATAAAATGAATCCCAAATGTGTATCTTCAATGTAAGTATGTATGAATGTTAAAATATTTGTAGTAAAAGCAGAAATGCATTTTTTTATGAATTGGACTTGTATTTTATGTTGGTTCAATATCAGAGTCTCAGAGATCTTTCTAATTATGTTATTGCTGGGCTTTGAACTGTCTTTTAAAGTATTGAGTTTGACAAGAAAAAAGAATGTTAAACTGATCTCACCATGCAAGGCATCAACAGGTATATCCAACAATGCTGCAAGTCTGTGAATCAGCTTGGAAGTACATCAATCCCATTTAAATCAGAGTGTCTTCATTTTTAATGGCCTGATCTAGAAAACATCTTTATCTTCTGAACCATGACTATATGCTGATTTATGTAAATTAATTGATTAGCATTGCACCCCTATACCACAGTATGATGCCATCCAGATGTTTTGTACTTCAGTTCCATGAACTGCCCAGCATGGCTGATGGCAGTAGAATGTAGGAATTGTAGTACAAAACAGTTAACAGCTGTAATACATTCAGTTTCTTTGCTGAGATTCTTGCTGTGGTTGTGGAGAATATATACAATAGTGATTGTAGCAGAAGAAATAGAAGTTGAGCTTGGGTTCAGTTTAGTTTGCAGTCTTGGTGCCCACAAGAGCATGGGTGCCATGGAGCATTGGTAGTCTAGGGCCTTTAGCTGCTGCTGCTGCTGTGCCAGTAGAGGAGAGAATGAGAAGACAGGTGAGGAAGAAAAGAAGATAGCATCGGGCAGGGTGGGTAAATAGAGTGGGCAGAAGCAGGTCCAAGAGATCTTGGAAGTCCAGGCCCTGTCCCAGACAACACCTGCTTTGTGACAACCAAAACAACTGGCCAGAGAATAGAATGGTCAATAAGCTTGTCTAGGAAGACCAGTAGCATGGTCTGACAGGACACCAGCTTTGCATATGCAGGCTTGATGTCTTGTACACTTGAAGATGTGTCACCATCAAAATGTTCTCCTATTTTGTTTGGGAAATGGTTAAAACCATGAGTTAGCCAACTCTTGAAACCATGCACCAATCCCAACAGCAGAGGGAGGACAGTTTCCTGCTTCCTTCCACTATGACATCTATTATAACAGAAATTTTTGGTATCTTTGTGAAATAAAATTAGATTCAGTATTAGTGAAGTTTTAGATATCTAATATTTAAAAATTGAAAAGAGTTGGAATGATAGAAGAAGAATTGAAGATCACCAAACTACCAGTAGTACTATTAAAATAAGCCTAAGTCAAGAACATAGGATAGAAAGTAAGATATTTTTTGGTTTCACAATTGTTTTTATGACTGAAGAAGAACAGATTCTTAGTGTGCTGTTTTCAAAAAAACCTGTATACCAAGAGTATTAAGCCAAGCAAACTAAAAAGCCAACTGGAAACAAATCATGCAGACTTACTATAGGTAACAAACCTCAAGATACCATACATGAATCTAGCTAAATATATGACCATCCCTTCAAAATCATGTTTTCCTTTTTATCAAGGAATAAAAGAAGTATTGTATTCAGAAGTGCTCAGTGCAAAAAAAACCCCACAATTTGAAAAACTTTAAATACTTTTTGCAGCCATTGATACCTGCATAATTTTTAAAATTTATTTATTTATTTATTTATTTATTTATTTATTTATTTATTTATTTCATGGCCTCCCACAGAGTTTCTGCCCAACTCCAGACTTCTTGGTCAGAATTTATCCTGTGGATTATACAAGTATTTACACAGATATAAAAACAAAGTATGTGGCAACTAGTAAATGAATAACATTACACCAGTCCTTTTGTGGCATAGAACATCAGTTTTATTTTCTTAATGAAGGAGGTTCACCTTGAATGTACATTATATATTGCTTTGTTATGATGAGTTCTTCATTCCAAGTACTGTAACTTTATACTGTTGCTAATATCATGTATAAGACCTTGTTATGTCATTATGAAACTTTTGTGACTTTTCCAACAGTTTTTAAAGCTTTTAATTATATATATACTGTTTGCTCTAAGATGTTACATGTGTAATTAAGTTCTAAGGCAAATCATTTGTTTATATTTGTTTAAAAAGATGCTGATTCAGTTTAAACAGACAAAACTGAGTTATTCACTTAGGAACGCTAAATCAGATGCACAGGTAAAAAATGGGGAAGCCTAGTTGGCAATAACAGTTGTAAAAAAAAACTTTAGAAAGTGAATATGAATCAGCAGGGTAACACAGTTGCTAAAAAAGGCAAATGTTGTTTTATGTACTATCAATAAAAGTATAATTTCCAAATTCTGCTAATAGTGCCAAGCTATTGTGCTTGAGTGAAATCACCCTTTTAGTATTATGTCCAGATCTGGACTATGCTTTAAAAAGGATTCAAACAGATTGGAATGAATTCGGTCAGAGGAAGGCAGTGATCAGGGGACTAGAAATTAAGATTTTCAAGGAGAGATAGTTGTGGGTTTTTTGCTTTGAAAAAATAATTGAGGGGAATAAGAAAGACCTTTCCAACTATTTAAGAAGTACCACACAGAGGAAGATCTGGTCTCTTCATATCAGAATGCAAGACCCAGATTCATTCATTCATTCATTCATTCATTCATTCATTCATTCAAATGTGTTATAGTTGCCCAACTCCAATGGACTCATAAGGATGATGGTCTTATATTACAAGAAGATAGATACCACTTATGTGTCAGAAAATTATCTTAACATAAATTAAAATCTAAACCATCTTTTCTATTTTTATTGCATCTTTCTTATTGATTGTATTTTTAAATATCTACTAAAATAAAATTAAAGCATTTTTTAAATAATAGAACCTGCTATTGAGGGTGGTAGTTCTCTTTGCTGAATGCATTCAAACAGAGGCCAGACAGCCATCTTTTGGAAATTATTTAATTTGGATTACTGCCTTGGGCAGGGGTTGGACTAATTGGCCTAAATGGCCCATGCCAAATTCATGCTTCATCGTAGCTTTTATTTTGATTCTAGAATTAGATATAGTCTATATGGAAGAAGTAAAAATACCCAGTGAGTGCAATACATTTCCTTTCTGTGAATGACATCCAATTGTTCCTCAGAAAAAGGATGTTAGATCTAATAGAGGCTTTGATTAGTAAAAAGGAGACAATTTTCACAGATCTCTTCTTCCCTGGCAGCTTCTCTGCTCCTCAATTTGTTCCAGAGGATTGAAGGACCATTCTTTCCTATTCTGCTGACAGAAACCTCCACTAGATCAAATATCATTTTGTCATGGAGAAATTCAACAAACACATGATATTCCATGGTATTTTAAAGCCACATCATTTACTGAACCAAGTTTGTAGTACAATGAAATTTGTGCTTTATGTATTACTTTGGATTGTTTTTTCCATATCTGTTTTCAGCATTAGTGAAATAGAGACTTCTGATAAACTATATAGGAAGCTGTTATATAAAATTAATTGTATTTATTGGTGTATACACTTTTTAGCCCAGTCTCCATGAATGAACAATCCTAAAGTTGTTTCATTTAGTAACTCAGATTTATTTATTTATTTACTTAATCAATTCATGTGGCCACCCAACTCATAATTTATGATTCTGTGTGGCTTAAAACGACCAACAAAAATAATAAGAACAAAAATAAATACAGTGGTACCTCGGTTCACGAACTTAATTCGTTCCGTGACTCT